TGTCACAGCACAACCTTTTTTCCCCTTTCAGGAAGTTTCTCAGCTGCTATTTTTAATGGAAAGACAAGGTACAAATAAATGAATAAGGTTATTCTTCATGCATAAACGTCTTGGGTTGGCTAATGGAATTTTCAAAACAGAGAAAGACCTTATTCTGTGTGTCTTGGAGAGGGGATTAACATGGAGGAAAGCAAAGATGGCACAGAGCAAGAAGTAAAAAGGAGGCAGATTTCTAAGCTGGAAAAGGGCAAGGACAAAATCTGGAATGAGAAGGGGCTGGGGGTGGTGGAATTTGAAGACATCCATCTAGCAGCAACTAAACCCAAGAAGAATAAGAAACAAAATGCTAGTAGAAACTAAATAGAGAAAGTAACCAGAAAACTTGACTTCCATCCTTTCCATCTGTTCCCCTATGTGTGGAAGAAGGCCAGGCTGCTACTGAACACACGCCAAGGCATACCCATATGAGAATGCAAAAAGAAAAGAAAAAACAAAAAACACCTTCTCTTGCTGGAGAAGACTAGGAGCACCAACCTGCTCCAAGATTTTCTTGGCCAGTGAGTTGCGTCTTGGAAGCCTATAAGCAAAGACTGGAGTGGGACTCAAAACCTTGCAGATTTCTGCCTCCCTAAGAGCTTTACTGGACCACAAACCGCTAGTATCCCATATCTCAGTGGAGGCCTCGGCTGAGCTGTGTGGGTCTTGAAATTCCAACATCATCTGGAGGGTCCAAGAATCACCACCACCTGGAAATAAGGCAAATGATGTCTCACATTCCCAAAGTACTCTGCATTCAGAAGTACATAATAATGATGTGCAGCTGCCCATCCAATTCTAGGAGCTGCTGTCCCGAAAGTATAAATCTGTACACACTGGGTACATCGTAACTGTGTAAAGCAGAAAAGGCAAATCAGCAGACCACATCAAGGGGTGACCTCAGCAGAAGGAGGAAAATGCACCCTAGTGCTTCCCCTTACAACTTTCTAAAAAGAACCTATCTCACAGTCCTCTTGATGGAAGGGCCGATTTCTAAGCTGCCCATCACAACCTCATTTCGTCAGATCCATTGAACATGGAAGCACACACACACCGTTACACCTCCCTGCACACAAACACAATGTGCTTCTAAGCCAGTGGCTCCCAACCTTGGGCCCCCAGATCTTCTTGGACTGCAACTCCCAGAAATCCTGGCCAGCACAGCTCAGAGGAAAGGCTTCTGGGATTTTTAGTCCATGAACATCTGAAGGACCAAGGTCGGGAACCATTGCTCTCTAAGCCAACAACCAGGAACAACTCAAGTATCCCCATTGCCATAATGAGTTGACAAACACCTGGCTAATTCCACAGAAGGACCCAGATATTTTAAGGCCAGCTGGATGCATGTCACCTTGCAAAGGAGGTGAGAGAAACAGGTATCAAAGGGGTTTAATGAAAGCAGTCATGCAGAAGATCAGTTTAGTGTGTCCCCCCCCCCCCCCCGCTCTACCCACACCTCTTTCCTTTCCAAGAGTCCTCAAATTTATTATTTGTTTCCCTCTGGCCACAACCCTAGAAAATACAGTTTTATTCTTTGCACAACCATCTGCTGCGGCATAAAAACAATCTTAACTGATCTCTTTGGCTACATGTGATGGAAAGAGAATTTGGGCATATGGAAAGGCATAGAATCAGATTTTTTCGCTTGAGATTTAAAAAAAACAGCTGGATGTCACCAGCTGTACTCCTGACAACACCCTCCCCAAGAATAAAGCAGCAACTCTTGCAGCCAAATTCAAATCCTTAATGTCAAGCAAGATCAAAGGTAAAACCACCATCCAAGTCCACCTTATCTCTTTCTTGTCCCGTATGACCTACCATAGACTCTTGAGAAGGATGCCTACACACAATAATTCTGCAGAGCAAAGCAAATACTGTACAGTATTACCTACTTCATCCTCATGGGAACTACAGTACTTCAAATAATGTAGGGAAATTTTTTTCACATACTATGCCATCATCACAACCTCAAGTCTGCATCTTTGGTCACATGCTGCACAAACCACACAGAGACAGGTAAGATTGTCTCTCTCTCTCTGTTCCTTGAAAATAGCACTCTTATTCGCAATTCAAATTCCAGCCTCTCAACATTGGATCACTCACAGTTGCTTCCCGAGGACCAACCTAAAAGCAGCTCCTAAGTTTTAATTTGTTGCTTTTATTACCATTCCTGGCCGGTTTGACGCTACAATCAAATTCCAAGATTTGTGAATTTCTCTGCTTATTTCCTGAATGGTTTCACGAACCAAAAGAAAAAGAAAAAAGAAAAATTCACAAATGCCATCAAAAGGATCACTGTGAAAGCCATAAAAATTATCCATTACATTTGAAGAGGGAGGGAAACTACCATAACTCTGAATTAGCAGCTAAGGTCCACATAATAATCCCAAATGAAATAACTATCAAATCACTCAAAGTCTGAATCCCAAAGGATCACTCCTTTCTGTTGTCCAGAAAATAAGATTTTTTGGCTGCTCCACAAACCTTCAAAAAGATGTGCATCCAATCTTTTTTTTATAGCACACCCACATTTTCTCTGTCTTCTTCTTTCCATTCATGCCCATAAAGACAGCTAACCCTGAGCTGTCACTCTTCATACTCTTAGCGCATGATTAGCTGAACACAGATAAGCCATTAAGAACACATCCACCTCCAAGGAATAGAGATAAATGTGGGTCTTCTCTTACAATCAAGCTTCTCAGGGAGGGAAGTTAAGAACAATAACTACTTCATGTACTTCTAAAGTAGGAAAGGAAAAATAAATCGATACAAACTGAATTTTGCTCCCCAAACCTTAATGGTTTTTTAAACCATTGTGTTTAGTATGCTTGTTTCTGGAAGGGAACCCAATCATACTTTTAAAGGTATCTACATGCCCTCTCCAAAATAAGATGGAGTTTCAAGATGGGGAAAAAATGTCTTCATTGGACATTTAATGGTTCCTCACCACTAGTGATACCCTATAAATTCCCCTGGGCTGAAGTCTTTCAAAGAATCCTGTGAGCAGTTAAGGAGATTTTACTTTTTAGCTCCATCTTGCTTTTTAACAAAAAAGAAAAAAAAAGGATGAAGCATGGGGGGGAAGGGCATGGCTCCTTCCAATTATGCCTTCCAGCTATTCAGACATCCTGAGGTTAGACCACAGGGCAAATGTTTTGAAAGCCCCACAGTTCCATCCTCCAGGCTTGGTGCCAAAGGCACCGACTGCTTACAGACACCCTTTTCTCACCCAGTCACAACCCCTGGGCATTCTGGGATGTGAAGGCTGCTTCAGACTCAATAAAGAGGATCTTGTACCAACATACTTCGTCTGGGGAGACTTCACAATTGCCTGGCATACATTAAAAGGCGCTCTCTAGCAGCTTGCTCCAGGACACACTAATTTCCTCTCTCTCTCTGCTGTCTGTGCATGGTCCACAATCCACCCACAACAATGAATGGGGGTGCTGAGGCAGGACTAGAACCACACAGTACCGGGCACCAAAAATACACAATCCAGTCTGCACATTATCTACTAGACAGGAACAGAATTTGAACACATGCTAAATAAATATATCAAACACCTTGGGTTTGCTTGCCCTCTCAACGTAATACCTTTAAAAGCTTTTGAAATGACTGAGTCTTTTCTTGCCCACCCCCCCAATATTTGCACAATTTTAGCCAGACATTTTGGAAGGGTCCATGAAATTTTGCACATTAGCATACACTTGCTGGCAGAGTAAATTTTTTGCCCCCCACAGGCAGAGACAGGGAAGGAAAACAATCTCTTTGCAAATATATTATATACTTATTCTGTATAGTCCCATCTGAGATTTACTTCATGTCAAGAAATGGAACCCAGAACAACAAGATCCAAGGGTACAAAAATGTCACACACGTCCCACATACCTGATGAACTGGAATAGACCTTTGTCCTATTGAACGGCATGTACAAAACAAAGAGGAAAACACGCAGTGCCAAACTTTCTTCTCAAAACAGAGAAAATGGATAAAAGAAAGGCCGGCGCACTAATTCCTTCCTTCCCACTGCTGAAGCTGAATGGCTAATATGGAACCTCTTAGGGATGCAACATTTCAGGCAAAGATAAATTCCAGGAGACAACTTTGCTAATATGTAGCAGGGAAAATTACCCAAGTGGGAGAGGGGATCCCACCAAAGAATTTAGTGCAAAACAAATGTAGCAATTGCTGACCAAAAAGAGAAAGATCAAACATCCAGTGCGGGCTGATTAGAAATAAATCCAGGGGAGATCACTTCTTTCTAGGACTGTGCTCTTAAGTGTCTTTTCAAGTCATCAAGGCTCCCTGAAATCAAGGGGGCCCACTGCTCACCCCACACACCTAAGGCCTTGTTTCACCTAACTGAACTACACTGTGCAATGCTGGCTAACTTCCCCAGGATCATGGACGCAAGTTTCTCAGAGATCCTCGCATCCAGGACTCCTGCCCAAAGAAGGGTCTGAGGAGCGCACACGCTGTCCCATGAAACACTGGCCTCCGAACGAACACAAGCACACACCTGGCTGCAGGGTGGCTGGGCGAACCATACAGCGGCAGCCTCCAAGAGTCGACATGGGTGAGACTCGGACCCAGTCCCGAGGTCAACGTCCTAACAAGTCTCTCCTTTTTAGAAGCCTGCTGAACATTTCAGGCATTAACCTATTTAAACAGCTACCTGGAGGGGGGAATGAGGGCAACCCCCTTCAGAATTAAGCTAGGCTGGAGGGACAGGTAAGTGCCACATTATCAAGCTGCGTAGGATTGTTTTTACAAAGTCTGCAGTCATCATCCTTGTCAACAACTGCTCCTTTCTGCTCACTTTTGACAGCTGGGGGGGGAGAAGGCATCCTTGCCCAAACCGAGCCGGTGAAGCCCTCCCCCTCCTACCGCCTGGGCTACCGAGGACCCCCACACACACGGAAAGGGGGGCTCTCGCCCGCTGCAGCTCGCCGCCGGCCACTCACCCTGGGCGCTTTCCTCTTGTATCGGTGGCTGTAGTCGAACTTCTCCTTCATCTCGTCCAGGCACTGGCCCAGCCTGGCCTTCTCCTCCTTGCCGGCGTAATCCTGGCTCAGGAGGATGTAAGCTCGCCAGTTGGCCGAGTCGAAGCCCCAGTGGCAAGTCCGGTTCTCCAGCGCCTTGTGCGAGTGGATGACGAACTTGTGCGGCGGGTACATGAGCCGGCAGTCGAGGCACTGGATGCACGCCGCCCCGGGGTTACTGTACAACTCGGGCACCAACAGCCCCTTGCATTTGCCGAAGCACTCGTGGTAGACCTTGAAGCTCCGCTCGGTCACCTCCAGCTCGATCGGGCCGGGGCCGCCGCCGCCGCCTCCTCCTCCTCCTCCGGGGCCGCCCCCGGCGGCGTACTCCTTCTTGCAGCGTCCGGGCGGGTAGGCGCCGCCGTAGAGCAAGGCGTTGCAAAGGCGCTCGGCGTCCGTCTTGGTGATGAGCCCGCAGGAAGGGGCCGAGAAGGGCAGGATGCCCATCACTTTGAGGATCTCCAGCTGGTCGGCCGTGCAGCGCGAGCAGTAGATGTGCAGCTCGTCGCAGACGGCGTTGATCTGCTGCAGCGAGAAGTCCCGCAGGACCGAGTTGAGGATCTGCGGCAGGCAGAGGCGCTTCTCGCCGCCCACCACGAAGCACGAGATGGTCTCGCCTTCCAGCACCGTCTCGCAGCGCTCCGTCGAGCGGTCCGAGGGCATGAAGAAGGGGCCCGGCATCACCGCCGGCGGCTGGATGGGCGGCAGGTGGAGCACCGGGTCGGCCGAGGAGGAGGAGGAGGAGGAAGAGGAGGAGGAGGAAGGCTCCTTGCCGTTCTCCCGCTTGTAGAGTTCCTGCGCCCAGCGCGCCGAGAAGGCGGCCGGACCACCCAGCGAGCTCATGGAGCTCAAATGAAACTGTTCCAAGGTCTTTCGCAGGCCGGGGTGCGGGTGGAAGCTGCTCCGGGTGACAGTCTCCATTTTAGGGGCTTTGGGTCGGCTCTTTCCCCCCCGCGCCGCCCGGTTCCTCTCTCCTGCTCGCCTGGTCTTCGTGGTGTTTTTCTGTTTGTTTGTTTCGTTTAAGGGCCCCCCTCTCCTTCCTCTCTCTTTCTGTGTTCTGGTTTATTTTTCTCCCTTCCTCCGAGCTCTTTTTAAAGGTCCAGCAGCAACGCGAAACAAACACCAAAGGCTTTGGGTCGGCTCTTTCCCCCCCGCGCCGCCCGGTTCCTCTCTCCTGCTCGCCTGGTCTTCGTGGTGTTTTTCTGTTTGTTTGTTTCGTTTAAGGGCCCCCCTCTCCTTCCTCTCTCTTTCTGTGTTCTGGTTTATTTTTCTCCCTTCCTCCGAGCTCTTTTTAAAGGTCCAGCAGCAACGCGAAACAAACACCAAAAAAGAAAGCCACCCCCCCCCAAGCTGAAAAACAAACAAGCAAAATAATAATAATAATAATGATAAACCTCGAAAAGGTCGCCAAGAAAAGTCCCAAGTTTAAAACGTGCGGTCGCTGCCCGATGAAGACGGAAGTGGGGCAAAGCCACCAAATCTCATATTTTCACAAGGAAAAGAGGGCTGCGCGATTCTGCTCGGTCCGCTTTCCACCAGCCCCTCGCCGGCGCGACTCTCCGCAAAGTTCAGGGGGGTCTTCTCGGCGCGACGGGGCGAAAAGCACAGCCGAGCCGACCAAAAGGAGGCTCCTCTTCATTTAAAGAAGAGAGTCGGGGGGAGAAAAAAGGAAAGGAAAAGCGCTGCCTTTCCCCAGCCAGGCATCCCCTCCCACCTCCATTCAAGCCAGTCTGCGAGTCACAAACACACACACACACTCACAAACAGGCGCACACGCGCGCACACTCGCCCACCAGCCCTCCCGGTCCCCTCCCCCCCACAAACAACAAATTTGCTAATCAATCTGAAGCAAGGACGGAGGGAGAGCGAGAGCCTCGAAGGGAGTTAATAGCACCCGAGTGTCTTGAAAGGTGTCCAACAAGCAGCAAAACCGGCGGCGGCGGCGGCGGCGGCGCCTGGCGTCCGGGAACTCCGCTCCTTTCTGTCCATAGCCAGCCCCCTCCCCTCTTTTCCAAAAAAATAAAAATAAAGATTTTTTTTTGGCTTCTTCCTTTGCCAACAGGAACCAGGCTTAATGCAAGGGGGGGGGGAACAAAAATCTGCGGCTTTTCCCAAACGGTGACGCGGCGGTGTCTTTTTTTATTATTATTATTTCCTTCCCCTTCCTCTCTGTCTCCGCTCCGGCCCCTGAACCGCGAAGGACGAGGATTTGGAAAAAGAAAAAAAGCTCCCAAAAATAAAAGATTATTTCTTCTCTTCTTCAAGGTTACTTTGCGAGGTTGTTTGTTTGTTTTTTGTTCTCCTCCCTCGCTTGTCTCCGCGTCTTCCTCTCCTTTTCCCCTCGAATTCTTCTTCTCCTCCTTATTTTCTTTTGCTTTTTTCCTTGCTTGCCTGGGCTTTTTCCAAGGTGGCGGTGGTGGTGGTGGGCACGGCAGCCGCGAGCGCGCTCACATCCTCGCCGCTCCACGCTCCGACCCAGACTGAGGGTGTTTCAAAGCTGAGCTAATGCGGGCGGGCGGACGGGCGGGCGAAGGAGGGAGGGAGGGAGGCAGGGAGGGAGGCGGCGCCCTCCTCCTCCTCCTCTTCTTCTCCCTCCTCCTCCTCCTCCTCCTCCTCTCTGTTTGTTGGTGTCTGCCTCAGCTCTTGAAGCCCGGCCAAGAATGTGACCAACTCCCCAGGCTGGGCTCTTCCAGGAACAGGCGCAGCCTCCCCCCGGCGCTCTGCTGCTCCTGCTCCTGCCTTTTTTTCTCTCTCTTTTTTTTCTTTTTTGCCTCCTCTTCCTTTGCCTTCCGAGCCGCTCTGCAAAAGGCAAGCGAGACACACATACACACACACACACACAGGCAAATATACACACCCGCGCCCGCCCGCCCGTAACTTCCTTACGCCGGCTGCTGGAGAGAATGAGGAAAAAAGGAGGGTGGGTAAAGCCTTCGGTTCACAGACCTCGCGGCTGCCAAGAACGGCGAGCGGGAGGGCGGCTCTTCTGCGCGCAGTCGGGGGGGGGGAAGAGAGAGAGAGAGAGAGTTTGGCTGGGCTCCTGCTCTCGCTGCTCTTAGGGTGGCCCGCGGGCTAGGAGAGGGGAGGATGCTGGGAGATGTGGTCCCGAAAAGGAACGTGCCCAAGCTCCGGGAATTACGTCACCGACGCTGGTTTCTGTGTTGAAGTCCAGTCTGGCTTCAAGGCCACGGAGGGGGTTTCTCAGGGAAGGTGAGAAGGGAAGGTCGCCCAGAGTGGTCGACCAGACCAGATGGGCAGGATAAAAATCAAATAAATAAATAAATAAATTTATCAAGTGGTTTTTAGCAGGGCCACCCCGGGAGTTGCCAAGGCCAAGGTGGGATTTGAACCCAGGACTCCGGAGTCACAGACCCACCCTGGATAGGTTACACTGCCCTGGCTGCTCCTCCTTGAGTACTGATAAGAGGAGGAAGAAGAGGGGCACTGTTGTGTGACCTGCTGGTTACAACAACGTTCAGGATTGGGTAACAGCTTGAAGAGATCACTAGAAAGTTATAATTAAGGCCAGCTTTGGAGTCCTACAGAACTCCTCGTCAGGCCAAGAGGGAAGAGCAATCTTGGGATGAAGGCATCGCCTCCAAACGCTGGGCCAGGTGCCAAAGCTAGGGAAGGAAATCTTATTGTGGAAAGTATCCCTATCAGCTGCCTGACTAATCTGAGGAAGACCGAACGCATGCAGGGAACGGGCTGGATCTGGCCTTCGCAATACTCTGAGGAGACTGACAGAAATACATGGTTCTTAAGTAAGCAATGTGTTCTGCCTACGAGTGACCTTCGCACGGATTCTGTATCCATGGTTTCCAAGCTGTGGGGTGGGTGGGCTTAGATGCCATCCATCAGTTCCCATCCAACCAGGTCAGTCATTCCAGTCTCTGTAGACCAATAACACCTGAGAAGCTCAGGTGTTGCAAAACAGGGGTTGGATCCAATCCATTATTTTGAACTATTATGTATTTTCGTACGATACCTTCTGTGTCACTTTGTATAATAACATTTCAATGCCGTTTGCAAAGAAAACACTATTATGAAAGCAATATTTTTTTAAAAACCAGCTTTTTATACAATATCTATTTTTGAATTTTAACGCTGCAGTCTCTGTAAGTTACCGGGCAGCTTTTCAAATGAGAAGTGGTACCCCTCCCCAAAAAATGGTCTAAAACAAAACAAAAATACAATACAAAAAGCAAAACAATTTTAAAAGGAGAAAAATGCAGCAGAGCTACCCTTAAAAGCTAGGGAAATCTCCGTAAATATGTTTTCAGAAGGCATTTAAAATTCATCAGCCAAAATCTTTAAGGAAGTTGCCACAGCTAATTGCTAAGGTCCAGCATCTCATCAATTAGCAACTTCCACCGTTTCTTTTGTGCATGAATAAATATACTGTATAATAGGACTCTGAGCATCATATTTCCTTCCTGAACTGCACCTGGGTGTTCCAGATTGCAGGTGCCACTGCTGGAAAAGCAAGTGTCCCTGATGTTACATGACCAACGGCGATGGTTAAACCCAATGTCATGGGAATGGTGCACCTCGTCTGGGTTTTAGTCCAAACTTACATGGATCCAGGGTCCAGTGTTTCGGATCACTCCTCTAAACCCTCGGCTGAAAGCCCCTGTAGAAGCAACACCGCTTCCCAGACATTAGAGTCACTGCCCTCCACTGTACAGGGCCAATGGCCCAACATACAGTAGTCTTCTCGGTTTGGAATGTAAGAAGCCCTTCCTTGAGGATCTGCCTATTAATTTATAACTGACTCTGAAATGTAATGTTTGGTAAACTGCCCTGCAAATGTGCAGAACAGTCGAGAATACTGTAAGTTGCTAAAATAAGCACACTTTTGGCTTTAGCCATGGCCTTCTCTGCCTGCCTATTTATAATTAAGTAGAATGTCTACCCTAATTTAGCAGCCTACCCTCTGACCATTATGGGCTGCCACTTCATACTCCACTCCTTCAGTTCATTCCCCAGAATCTCTCCTCCTCCCGCATCAAGGCCTTCCACTTTATCCCTAAATCATAACAAGGTAGGAAACTGCCCTGTATGAAAGATGGCTTGGGATTATCTGTGCTGTAAACTCTGCACAGATTGACAAGGGCTTTTCCAGAGGAATTTTTTTCAGAAAGAAATGTCAAGAATTGAACCTTACTGCCCTGCAAGTTGAGCATCTCCTCCACAATATGAATAGCCTTGTTCCAAATGCTCAACAAACACTGCTCTTGCTTATATTTATCTAAAGCTCTCTGGGTCTCTTTGTTTCATGTCTTGCCCTATAAGATGTTGAAGATTTAAAGCATTTTACTTATGAACTTATGAAAATCTGTAAAGTATAACTATTAGTCACATGCACACCTGAATGACACAACACAGAACGAATACATGTCACACATACATTTGTAGGTCTATAATTGGATTCAAGTCTATATTAGAAAGGAGATGTTGCCTAAACATTAGGAAGATTTTTATAGACAGCAACAAGCTTTTTTGACAATGCAGTGGGCTACCTCAGAGGTTAATGGATCCTCCCTCACTGGCGCTTTTCAAACAGGTCCAATGGATGCTTGATGGAGGTGCTTGTACATTTCCTGCATCAGTAGGGGGTTGATCTTGATGACCCTTGCAGTCCCATGAGGCTCTAACATTCTGTGACTTAAAAAAAATTGGTTAATTATATCAGCTGCAACCTGTGTGTACTTTACCTCCAAGTAACCCCTGATGAAAACAGTCAGACTTGCTCCCGGGTAAATCAGAATGTCACACCATGAATGTATACACACTAAGGAAAAAATTAGCTAAACTGAGGTGGGGGAGCCATGTTAATTTTTTAAATGATACATCAGATCACTTGGCACAGTGGACATGACCTGAAAATAGGTCTGCTTCATTTACTTCCATGTTTTTTTTCTAATCTATTAAAATCTGATTCACTGCTAAATTGCATCAGCCCTAGGTTTTTAACTTTGAAAAAAATGGGCTTGCAGTATATACAAATATTAATAATAAGACTCCAACTTCTCAGAGTTTGCAGGTAGAGAGCACCCAGAAGTGGTTTCCCCTTCCTTTTGGGGGTGGTGGTGGTGGTGACCCGGGCTGGCTGTTCTCTCAATAGCACAAGGGGAAATTGAACAACATGTAATTAATTGACCTATCCAGACAGCTAAATATAAACAAACACACAATTTACATGATAGTATAACTATAAAACAGTTTCTGGGGGAATGTAGATATGTGGGTCCAAGAAACAAACTCTTCAGCATTGTGCATTATGTGTTAGTATATATTTTGAGGCGATCTCTTTGCCCCATGTCAGTTTTGCACTCATGACTTTTTATTACACAACTGTTTAAAAAGCTAATAAAATACAGTATTGTTAAAAAATGGAACAGGGTGGAAGAGCTGAGAAGTGACATATACATAGGCGAAATGGGGATCATGACTATGTGAATATACGGGATACACACACAAACATATATATATATATATATTAATTATGCTGCAAGCAACTGCTACCTGCCGTTTTATGCATGAAGCATTCAGCTTTTCTGAAAACTGTGTACACTATATTATACATCTAGGAAAGATTGCCCTCTCCTGGTACAGGACTTAAATAGCAAGTTTCAGAATGTCTCCTTAAAAAGCAACTTTTGCAACCCCTACAGTTGACTAGATACTTCCCACAATTGTTTCTACCTTGAAATAATATTAGAAAACATAATTCCATTAAGAACAGAATTTTGGTATCCAGCTGCTTAACACCAATTAGCTTTAGAAATACTGGGCTCTTGAAATATAATGTATTGTAAAAAAAACCTTTATAATGGGAAATTCATGATTGATTTATAATTTATAATGGGAAAACTACAGTACTTGAATTTGGAGAAAAGTTGTGCAGGACCTCATGCAAAAAAAAGAGAGTTGGATTAAAACCAGCTTCCATTATTACATTTGAACATGATTCTGAAATCTGACATAGCAGAAGAATCAACCGTCGAAATACGGCTGGGATCCTGTTGGGTATTTTTCTGGAGTGAAACTAATACTAAAAAAACCTATTGCACTATTTAGCAAAGTGACGTAGCTGCACCCACAAAACTTCCCAACAGCATACTGGCTTTAAATAGTCAGAAGACAGAAATTCTATGTATCTGTTGTTGGATTCTTAAATTCATTTGGATCCAGATAGGTTCCAGCCATGTTCCAGTACTTTATACTTAATTGTTGTAAGCCACCCAGAGACCTTTGGATAGTGTAGGTGGCATATAAGTTAAATAAATAATTAAATAATAAATACTGGCTCAGTATACTGGGTCGCCTTGTTCTATATGGTTTGTTTACTCTGAAACTGGATTCTTCTGGGTTTCAGACTGGACTTTTCATGGACATGGTTTGCACACTGAGGATCTGAGGCTAATCCTGGATCTGAAGTGAGCAAAGGTAAACATTTTACAATATGTCTGTAAAAAGCACTGTCTCCGTCTTAAAACAGTATTATCAAATCATTGTGTATCTCATATTAAAGTGCAATACTATACAGTATAGCACAGTTGGTTTATATGTAGGTTCTCAAAATCTCAGTCTGATGCCCACAACAGTAGTTAGAAATGCTTTTTATGTGTCTTAAGCATATATAGCTTTGAAAATAATTGCTTTATATATAAGGACATCACTGGCCACCAGAAAGTCAAATAAGTGGGTTTTTGAGCAAATCAAGCCTGGACTCACAGTAGAAGTTTTAAAATTATTAAACCAAGGCTATGGTACAGTGAGCAAAAACTCACTGGAAAAGGCAATAATAGTAGCAAAAGTTGTAGGCAGTAATAAGAGTGGAGGATCTAACATGAGATGGACTGACTCAGTAAAGGAACCCCCCAACTTACGGTTTGCCAGACCTGAGCAGGGCTAATTATGGGATTTTTTGCAGGTCATTCATTCAGAGTTTTCAGTCAGGAGCACTTTGAGGATGCTTAGCAACAACTTCAAACATAAAATGGTAGAAGGAGGTGCTTCAGTTTGGAATCTTGCTTATGCAAGGATTACAGTTTTACCCCACCTGCCCTATACCAAGGCAAATCCTTGGTTCATTTATTCAGCCCCATCAGGACTGCCAGGTTCTTTCCAGGTGTTTTCCAGCCTGCCCAAAAGATGTTGCCAATCAAACCTGGAGCATTTTGTTTATTTATGAGGGAAATCCAATGTTCATTGCACTCTGTGGCATTTAATGTTGCTTATACTTTATGTGACTAAGTCCCTCTCATTTCAGTAGGTTATGCTACCTAATCTGATGTTGAATTTGGTGCCTGAGAGTATTAACTGGGAGCATTAATTGTAATTAATCACACCTATGGTTCCTGCTAATTTATCTTTTTTATTTTTTTAAGTTTAGTTTTGAATATGATTTTAATATTTCTGTGTTTACTAATTTTGTAACTATTCTTTTAATGTGCCATTTTAATTCTTGTCCCTTGTAATTATTGGTCAGCCATCTTGAGTCCCAGTGCTGGGACAGAGGCAGCAGAGAACTTCAATAAACAATATAATAAAGAACGATGATAATTGTCCCAGATGATGGAAGACACTCAATACACACATCTCATTTTGGAAAACAATTCACTTCCATACTGAAATCCCACAGAGGAACATGCTGGCCACTAGTAGCAATGTTTAGAGAGAGAAAATAGCATCTGTAGCAGCATTTTTGCACATTTAAAGCATGCTGTGTTCATGCTCAAGTTGCAGTTATCATAGCAACCCTGTTAGAGAGGTATTGCATTATTATCCTCCAAAATGCAAATAATAGCTTAGCAAAGGTTAACTAATGATATTCATGATATTTAAACTCCAGATTTCTCTGAAAACGGCTTTATTTCCCTCAGCTGTGGTTCTCCTCATTTGCTATTGGAGCTTCTCTATTGATAAATAACATCCTCACCAGGTGATTCGCAACAACTTAACTATTTAAACATTTTTTTCCAAAGCAGATTGAAAACACTTCTTTCAAAGAAGGTCCAAACATCCTCTAGTTGTATCCAAGGAAGGAAACTATGTTCCTCTGTTTCACCATGCGCCACAAAAAACAAAATGAAAACAAGTACGATTTAACGATTAAAAAAACAATAACTGGAGGTTTATCTACTTTGATTTTAGTGGACCTACTACAGAATTAACCAGCATTGTTTTTGTTGTGTTTAGGCACAAAGATAACACATGGTTTATGTTTCAGAAATATAAATGAAGTCTCTGCTAATGTATCAAGCAAAAACTAAAGAATTTTTTTTTAAAAAAAGATAAAAACCGTTGTGGCACCTTAAAGGATTCTATTTTAATGTTTTCGTGGACAAGTCTGAGGGTCTGAGCAAGCGGACTTGTTCCACAAAACTCATATTATAATCCAGCAGTTAAAGTCTTTTTTAAAGGGGCCCACAAGGTTTCACTCTTCGTTTTTGAATTTTTAAAGACTAAACTGCTATGTTTTAAGCTGAGCTTTCGTTTAACAAGTCCAGTTCCTCACCCTTCTCCACAAAAGCCCACATTGAAGCATAGCAGTTCGTCTTTAAGGTGCTACAAAGTTTTTTGTTTCGTTTGGTCTTATTTTACACGGTTTTTGTTTCGTCTGGGCTGCTTTTCTCCCCCTCTTTTTAATTGTCCTCCCCCTCGAATTA